CTTTGCTGGAACAGTTGCCCTAAAAGCCTTCAGCCGTCATGGAAGCTGTCCACCCGCCCTGAGGCTGCCATTCTATAAGGAAGCTGAAACAGACACTGAAAGGCAAAGCCCTGAGAGAGACCTGCCCAGCCTGGCCCTTCCTGTTTCTCACCCCCCATGAAAAATAAATGATAGTTGCTGTTATGAGCCAAGCCACTAAGTTTAGGAATATTTGTTACACAGCAGTATATATCCACCACACCTACTGTGCCTGACACACTGTTCTACATGACATTCTAGTAGAAGACCTGCAGGAGAAGCACTCTAGACAGAACAGTGAGTGCAAAGGTCCTGAGGCAGGAACCAGCTTGCTGAGCTGGAGAACAGCGAGGAGCTCAGTGTGGCCAGGGCAGAGTGAGCGAGGGGCCATGCAGGGCCTTGTAGGCCATAGAGTTCTCGGAGGAGTTTGAGGTTTTTCCCAAGACAAGGGTCGGAAGTGGGAAATGGAGGGATCCAGATGGTTTCCCTTGACCATCTGACCTCTCTGCTGCCTGCTTCCTTCTTGGCTCATCAGGAGAGAAGTCTGAGGAACCCCCAACCCACCGAGCCCAGGCTGAGCTCTGAGAACTGGGAACTTCCTTCTCTACAGCCAAGCCCAGGAAAAAGGGCTTTCACAGCTGTAATTCTGTTCTCATCTTCCCATCGTGGGCAGGGACCTGGCCCCGTGAAGTATCTGCTCTGTGCCCAGCCCCACGCAGAGGGTGAGGACCCAGATATTAATCAGCTACAGTTCCTGGCCTCCTCTGCTCGGCAGCGCCCCCCAACACCCCCTCCGCGCCTCCCCCCCCCCACCCAGCCCCGCAGTCCACAGGGTCAAGTTCTTGACAGCAAGGTGTCCATTGCAGCTGACGCTGAGGCCAAGAGGGGAACCCTTGACTCGAGCTGGGTGCACTAGCTTCTCTCACTCCCATATTCTGCAGCAGCTAAATGTGGTATGGAGCTAGGAGGAAATGCTGATTGTACTCTTTGTAATTAAAAAGATTTAACCTTCAATTTAAAATAAATTCAGACTTACCCTAACCCTAAAAAAAAAAAAGAAAAAGAAAAAAAATTCAAATTTACAAAGAAGTTGCAAAAACAGCACCAAGAAATTCCATACAGCCTTCACCCAGCTTCTCCAAATGTTAACATCTTACGTAAACAGCACGATGACCAAAACCAGGAAATTCACACTGATGCAGTACGATTCACTAGCATAAAAACCTATTCAGGTCTCACCTGCTGACTGCCAGTGTTTTGTTCCTGTTCCAGGATCCAGTCCAGGATTCCTTGTTGCATTTAGATGTCATTATTCCTCAGTTTCCTTTAGTCTGGATTAATTCCTCTGTCTTATTTTTCCTTCCCCATGACACTGGTGAGGTGTGCTGCCCAGCTATTTTGAAGAATACCCTTTCATTTTGGGTCTGTTGACCGTTTCCTCCTGATTAAATTCAGGTGTTGAATTTTTGGTGTAAATAACATGGACGAACCTATCAGGAGGCACCTGATGTCAATTTGTACCATTTACAACTCAGATCACCGGTGTCGGCCAGCTTACCACTGATACTTTTCCCTTTGTAGTTATTGACTATCTTGTGGGGAGACAAATAAATAGGGAATAGTTGAGGAAGAGGAGGAGAGGCAGATGGAGAAAAGAGGCAGCTAGCTCTTGCACTCCATTGCTTGTGGTCTTTCCATGCATGATTGCCATTTTAGTAAACAAAACAGCCTCCATTCTAGGCAAAATCCCGAGCTGGCTGGTTTCCCTGGGGTGAAAAGGAAGAGGCTGTGTCACACAGTGACCACAGGGGGGCAGCAGAGGATTGGGAATGAAATGAAAACTGGGCTCTAGGATGAAAAGCAGTTTAGTTCCTTCTAATAAACTTGCAGAAACGCAAAGGCTCTGCCCCAGCTGAGGCCTGTCATCTTCTGGGAAACAGGTCAGGTAGTTGCTGGCTGCTCTGATTACACTCCCAGCATTAGGCATGTCTAAAACAGGGGCTTTTTATCCTGGGAGGGCTTTGGGGGGGGGGTGCTGAGAATCCCTTCTGCAACTGCCTGCAAGACTCATGGGTACTGAGGGTGTATCGGTTTGGAGACTGCTTGCAAACTCCCCAAAACACCTCTGTCAAATGTAAGCAAGTGGAAAGTTTGCTGGCAAGTGATGAGCATGTTCCTAAGATCAGAGAGAGAAGAGAAGAAACTGGGCAGCTCCAGTGGGTCTTGGGAACCGGTGGGTCACCTCCCGAGAATGCTCAAACTTCAACTGCTTTCGGTCTTATATTCAGCTCACAATTCAGATTCTGAGGAGGAGGGGGTCAGATGCGTCCAGCATGGCAGGGCACGTTATTAATCCCTGCCCCCTCCTGCTTTCCCCAACTCTAGCCACTTTATGCTCTGGTCAGTTATTCATTGAGCGAGAGCCTTTAGGTGGAGGGGTCCAGTGGACAGCTGTACAGAAGAGAGTTGACAGAGGGGAGTTTGACGTCCATTTTGAGGTCATGGGCCGTCACTCCCGGGGTGCAACCCCCAGGCCTCGCCAAGATCTAGGAAGCCCTCCCTGTCTCCCTCCCAGCTCACCCCGGGCCACCTCACATGTCAAGCCCGTCCCCTCCGTCCCCTCGGCCAGGAGCAGCCTCCTTCAGTGTGTGCAAGCGCCCACTTACAGATGGTGTTTCAAACGGTGGGAAGAAGGGTCACTGCCCAGAAGGAATCGGAGTGTTATGTCCAAAGAAGGTAGAACAGGTAGATGCTTGGTAGCAAGACCCCACAGGCGTCCATCACAGAGGATCCTCAAAGGGGTCCATGACCTCAGCGTAGGTGAGGACTAGTCTCTAGGACTGTGGCTTTCAATACGTACGTATGTTCAGTACACTTTACATGCAGCCCAATCCCGTATGTGTATGTCCACACACATCGTATAACATATACTGAGATGTTACAAAGCCATAGTTATCTTTGCTAATTACACTGACACTCCTGATCTTTTCTATTTCTCTCCTGGTCCATTACAAAGAAAAACGGGTCAAATCCACCGACTTGATTTCATAGCCGCTTGGCCTGCTGCTCTAGCAGCCCTCTTGCCTCTGCTCCCCCGCCTTCATCTGCACTGCGACACTCTGACCCCCCACCCGGCCTGTACCATCTTCACAAGTACCTAGTGACCCCCTTGCTTCCATTTTCTTCGTGTGTGATCCACGCACCAGAATAAGTCTTTCTAAAGCCCAGCTTCGATTATATCAAAAAATGGTGGTGGTGGCCTCCTGAATGAATTTGATTTTATCTGTGCAAGATGTGGGAAATACAGTATTGAGCAAGCCAGATCAGAGCTACTCACCCTCAGAGCTCATGGGAAAGAGATTTGCCAACAATCATAATAAAGTAGTGCAGGAAATACGGGGTAGAAGGGATCCATCCTAATCTAGCTGGGGATCTTCCAGGAAGGCTTCCTGGAGGAGGTGTCAGTTAAGATGAATGCTAAAGAGGAAGGGGTGTGTGTGTGGAGTGGAGTTTAGGTGGGAAGAGCAATGAAGGTGAAAGAGCCTGAAATGAGACACTGGGGTGAGTTCCAGGAGCAGAAAGTCAGAGCAGGGACTTCCCTGGTGGTCCAGTGGTTAAGACTCCGCACTCTCAATGCAGGGGACCTGGGTTCGGTCCTGCACACTGCAACTAAAGATCCCGCATGCCGTAACTGAGCCCTGGTGCAGCCAAATAAATAAATATTTTTTAAAAAGGATCATGCTATCTTAAAAAAAAAAAAAATCAGAGCAGCAAGTGGGTCACGGGAGGAAAAGACAAGTGACATCGTTGCCAAGGTGTGAAAGATGCAGAGAACTGATAATAACGAGAATGCGATTACCCGGTGGTTCTCACCTGGGGGCAGGGGACACTTGGCAATCAGTATCTGGAGATATTTATGGTCTTCGCCACTGGGGGTGGGGTGCTAGTGGGGGTGGGGTGCTAGTGGGCCAGGGGTGCTGCTCAATGCCCCCCCCGTGTCCAGAAAGGTCCCTCCTCTAACCCAGAGACTTAGCCAACCCCAAATGCCAAAGGTGCCAAGGTTGAGAAACAATTGTTGAATGCTTACTCCAGTACTTTCTATAAATCAACTTATTTAAATCTCACAACAACACTGTGAGGTAGGTGTTTTTATTACCCCTTTTTCCCAGATGGGGAAACTGATCTAAGTAATTTACCTGAGGGCACAGCTATTGTCCAAGCCCGGCTGCCCTGCTGCATCTCCAGGCAGGGAGGTCTCAGGGAGTGGCCAGGAGGAAGGAACCAGTGGCCATGTTAGGGGCAGTCTGGAGGAGGTAGGAGGGACGGAGAGCATGCAGGTGGCCCTGGGTTTCTGGCTCAGGCAGTGGGATGGGGATACAGGCAGGAGGTCTGGATCGTCAGATGCTGAGCTCCTGTCTTGCCCTTTGGAGGGCAAGGCACCCACGAACCTCTGAGCCAGGGTGGGCAGGCAGCTGTGGAGCAAGTCAGCAGCACGTGGATGAGGTCATGGAGGGTGTGGAAGGAGCAGGACCCAGGTGCAGGGGGTGGGGGGGGCAGCCAGAGAAGTGGGAAGAAAACTGGGGTGGGGGTGAGACTCCCAGCCAGGGAGAATCTCTCCCTTCTTACTTAGCATTCCTGCAGCTGATGTGTATGTGTGTGTGTGTGTGTGTGCGCGCGCATGCACGCCTCGCATCTCACTTCAGAGTTCTTGCTACCAGAGAGTTCTTGGAGGCTAGAACGCCTATGGGTCCCCCTGCAACCCTCCCAAACTGTGGCTTATTGCACTCTGACTCAGGGCCATTAGGGTTATAATGATCACCAGGAACCCAGGTACCTTCTGTCTCATTGCTTTGCCATCCTTATTTTATGATGTTCACCTTGAGGTCCAAGATGGCTGCCGGGGCTCCAGCCATCCTGCTTGCATTCCAGCCAGCAGCCTCATTTTCCCCATGTGCACAATGGTGGGCGGGGTTAACACCTACCTTGGAAGACTGTCAAAAAGAAGAGAAGAATGGACCACAATGACAAGAAGCCACTGTGATTGGTCAGGACCTCCTGGAGGCTCTTGGTAGGACTGGGTCCCCCTTTTGCTGTGCCTGTGCCCCGGAGCCCTACCCAATGGGCTAGGGACCCACGGGCCTTCGGCAGCCTCCCCTCCTCGGCTCCTCTCCAGCTCCTGGGGCAGGAATCACGTGGGCATCTCCTGTGCTCAAGAGCCTCGCCAGCCACCCAGGCCCTAAGGTGCTCTCCCCTCCCAGGGACCCTGCCGCCTGGCCCTGGGCCGGGATCTCCAAGGGGAAAGATTCAGGGGCGGCTCCTGCTCCCCGCAAGAGCTGGTGCTGCTCAGGGGGCCTCGGGCTGAAATCGTGAACCACGGGAGGGTAGGGACGAGTCTGGGTTCCGCTGGGTTCTGAGAGCCTGGCAGAGGAGTCGGCCTGGAGTCAGGACCTGGCCACCCGGCTGACGGGAGGCTGCATGCTTGGGTCTGAGAGCTCCTCCCCAGGATTGGCCACAGTATTTGTGGGGCCCAGTGCAAAATTAAAGCAGGGGCCCTTTGGTGGAAAACTCTTTAAGAATTTCAGGATGGTGGCAGCAGAGCCTTAAGCCAAGCGCAGGCCCTGGAGTTCCCAGCCTGGGATAGCGATGGATGATTTTAGTGTCACCTGGGGTCCCCAGGGCCTCCACCCGGGACAGAGGGGCCCGGGCTGGGGCCAAGGCTGAGCATCTCCGGCGGCACACGGGGCACCAGCCTGGCCCCTGAGAAGCAGCTTTTATGGGCGACTAACGGGGAACTGCGTCCACGTTTCTGGAACACCCTCCCCCCGTGGGCCCTTCCTGAGCGCATCGCTCTCCTCTGCAGGGTTTCTTCAAAGTCCTATAATGCCCTGTGTCACGGTCCCCCAGAGTGGGTGGTCACAACAGTACGGATGCCGGGCCCGCACCTTCAGCCCCCGAGCCAGGCTCTCTGGGGATGGCGCCCAGGAACTGGCGATTTTGGAAGAAGCTCACGCCCTGATTCTTAGGGGGTTCTGAAGTTCGGGCCCCACCGCTTTACCAGATTAACCCCGTAAACAACCAGTGTGCCGTGTCAGCGGCCGGAGCGTGGATTTATTCTGCGTCTCTGAACCAGTTTAGTCTGTTTACAGTCTCGCCCATCCTGGGCTGAGAGTTGTTTTCTTGCCCTCTCTGGCCTTGCTAAATGCTCCTTCTGGAACATTCCCCAGAGAGCCGGAGGAGAGCACTGCTGCCCTCCCTTCCTGGGCTCGTGTGGCCCAGGTCTGGCCAGGCTGGCTGTGCCAGGGCCAGGGGAGTGTGGGAGGGAGGGCTTCGTCCTCCAAGGCCACTGGAGTGGGCGGCGGGGCAAAGGCTGGAGCGTGGACTGCGACCCACAACGGGCACGTTCAGTGTGTTTATTGCAACGGGAAACGAGAACGGGCTCGGAAGGCTGGTGTCTTTACCGTCATTCATATTCCTCCTCGCGGAATCCGGCAAAGGACTAGACAGAGCATAAGGCAGAAACGTGGAAGAAAAGGCAGGCGTCACAATCCGGGAGCCGTGAGCTTGAACGTCTCCCAGGAAAGGAGATGCAGCTTTAAAGACATTCCTTCTGTCTGAGTTCATCTGAGTCTGCAACTTTAAGACCACACGCACGTTGTGATCATGACGGGCTTTTGGTTTCTTAAAATGAGATTTCTCGTCCTTCCCTGCTGCTCTCCCCGGGCACCTGCGGGCGCCAGGGATGCACAGCGCTCCTGCTTGTCGAGAAGTAGGGTGTTTAAAGGCCTCGTGAGTTTACATTAGTACCTTCTGCATGAATGAGAAAACAACATGGCGGACTGAATATACTGCGATATACACATTCATAAGGAATGTTCTAATAACAATTAGAGCACAAAACTATTTGTATGAACATATTTCCAAAAGGAGAAATTATTGCATTTGAGAAGTCGATGCTTCTTAGACCAGAGGTTTGTTTTTCTTCTTTGCAGCTGCTTCGGGAGCGGAACTCTGGCACAGGGCTTACTGGTGCAACACGTTACGAGGGACACAGATCTGGAGAGTTTCGAGGTCAGGGCTGGGACAGCCCTTGGGATCCGTTTGTCCCCAGAGGAGAGTTTGGACCCTGGGCAGTTCAAGATGGGACCTGCCGGGGTCCCAGTGCTCTGGGATCGCTACTTCTAAGGCAGACGTTCTGGAAGGTTCTGTGGAGTGGGGCTCAGGCATGGCTGCTCGTGCACAGACTTGGCAGGATGGCTGCCCTCTGACGGCGCGGCGGAGACCCTGACCTCCCGGCCCCCTTGGAACAAACTCATTCCAGACCTCACAGTTGAACTTGACGTTGGCTGTGAACCTGGACAGATTCACAGTCCTTCTGGTTGCTCATCAAGCTTCTGGCTTTGATTTGGAAAGGCCCCGCCCCCACCACGAGCGGGCCCGCTTCCGTGACGTGTTCTTTGAGCCACGTGGGGCCGTGGGATGCGCGCCGTCCGGGGACGCAACTGGCGGCTGCTTCTGATCCCTTCGGGGTCTAGAGACGGGGTGCCTGGCGGCCGGCAGGGCAGGAGGCCACGGGGCGAGGACCGAGATGGCCTCTCCCACCACAGGGCCTGAGGGGGGCTGCGGGGACACGGCCCGCTTGGCGCTGCCCGACGGTTGCGGGACATCCCTTCCTCCCCGGGACCCGCTGGAGTTTTTTCAAATCAGGGTGCAAATCGGAACGAGCTGGCAGGGGGAGATGCCCAAAGTGGAGGTAGCGACTCGCTCAGCACGGCCCCTTCCAGCTCTGGAGGGGGATGTTTGCAGTGGGGGAAGGAACATTCAGAAGAAGGAAAAGGGGTCTGGGCGCCCCATCTGAGCTTCGGTCGCGGTCACAACGGTTTTCCTCTTGAGGGAGAGCGTGTCCTTTAAGGGCGCCCTGGCCCAGGGGCCCCGGCACTCAGAGTAAAGGAGGCACTACCGCGGCGGAGCTCTGGGACCTGGAGCCGGGGCAGCGCGGCCCAGCTAGACGCCCTGCAGCGGGTGGTTGGGGTCGCTGCGCTCCCGCTTCACCAGGGGCTCGCCCCGGCCTCGGGCCTCCGAGCGGGCCTCGCTGCCTCCACGGTCCTCGCTGAGGTCATCTGTGGAGGCGGGGTGGGGCGCGGGGCACATCTTCAGGGGGCGCGAAGGGGCCAGGGCAGGGCACTGCCTTAGCCTGGGCCTGGGTTGACCCAGTCAACCTGGAGGCCTTCCTCCCCACGACCAATGCCCACGTGCCTGGGCTGTGCTCCCGGCAGCATCGCCCTTGGCGGTTGGGCCCCCCCACCTCCACGGGGCAGGGTATGGGGCCCCGGGGGGGGGGCGCTCGCTGGCCCACCTGCCCTGCTCCCCCTCTGGACGTGGCCGCAGGAGGCCCTCACCCCGCCAGCCCCAGCACCGGCACCAGTCCTGTCCGTGGCCCTGCGCTGAGGGGCCTGGTGTGCAGGGAACCAGGGAGAGGAGTAAACGTAATCCAGTAGGAGGGGCAGGGCCTCTGCTCTGAGCCCCCAGTGGGCTGCTGCCCAGTGTCCCCGCCCCAGGGGCCGCCCTGATCGCCACCAGGCCCAGGACAGGAGGGAAAGCCCAGACACACCCACCTTTGTCGAGCAGTGTCAGCGACAGGGAGGCAAGATCGTTGAACTGAAAGAGAGAAGCCCGGAGTGAGGGCCCTCCGCAGAGCAGGTGCCGGGGAAGGTTAGCAATGTCCTCGTCCACAGAGGAATCGGGCTTTCGCTTTGTAAGTGAGAGGGCTTCTGCCGTGAGAAGCGGCCCTGAGGCTGCTGGGTGTCTGGGTGTGGCCCCTCTAACACTTTCCAGGGCCCTGCCTGGGAGTCGCTGGAGGGCTGTGGCCTCTGAGTGGTCAGTGAAGGAAAAGCCGCTGTTTATCACGGGCTTACCACGTACTAAAAGCTCTACAAGTGTCGCCTCATTTCTTCCTTGAAACAACCCTGTCATGACCCAGCAATTCTGCTCCTCAGTCTATACCCCAAAGAATGGAAACAGGTGCTCAAACAAAATGTGTACATGAATGCTCACAGCAGCACGATTCACTCCAGCCAAAAGGTGGACACAGCCCATCTATCAACAGGTGATGGATCAGCAAGGTGGTGCATATCCGTGCAGTCAAACAGTGTTTGGCCAGAAGAAGGACAGAAGCACCGACACTCGCTACCACGTGGACGGACCTCGAGAACACGATGCTCAGTGCGAGAAGCCAGACACAGAAGGACACACAGGGTGTGATTCCATGGATGGGAAACGTCCAGAACAGGCAGATCCACAGACACAGGGAGTGGGTTCACGGTTGCCAGGGGCTGGGGGGTTTACTGCCAAGGGGGTGGGGTTTTCTTTTGGGGTGATGGAATGTTCTGGAACAAGATAGGTGGTGGTTTCACAACGCTGTGAATGTACTAAATGCCACTGAATTGTTTCCTCTGAGATGGTTAAAAAGGTACATTTTACTTTCTGTGCATTTTACTTCAATGAGGTGGAAATCCTGCCCGGGCCACGTGAGTAGGGGACAGAGGAGCCAGGGTCCGTCCTGCTGGGGCAGGTGAGCTTTTTCCCACCCGCCGCCCGCCCCCACGAGCGTGTTCTCTCGGGCCCCGAGGCCGGCCCTCTCATCCCGGGGGCGCTCACCTCTCCCATCACGGCAATGGGCGTCTCCCCAGTGGCCTCGGCGACGCGGTGCTCCACCAGGTAGAACATGTACTCGTCGTAGAGCAGCCGGATGAGGTGGAAGGAGCCAAAGCTGGCGGCGCTGCGCAGCGTGAGGTCGCGGATCACCATGGAGCTGAGGCGGCAGACACGGGCTGGCACCTCCGGGACGCCAGGCTCCCCTCCAGCCCCGAGCTGGCCTGCGAGGGCCCTGCCAGCCTCCCAGACCACCCCGCGGCCTTTCCCATCCTTCCCATCCTTAGCCAGCAGTTTTAGGCGCCTAAAAACGAGATTCAAGTTCAGGGCACCTTTGCCTCTTTCATCCAAAGCAGGGGTTGGCAAACCGCAGCCCAAGCCAGACCAGATCCAGCCTGCCAGCCAGGAATGGTTTTTACAGTTTTGAATGGTTGGCAAAAAAAGTCAAAAGAATTGTATTTCACGACACATGGAATGTACCTGAAATTCACACTGCAGCATCCATTAATAAAGTTTTATTGGCTGTGCCTGTCGTTGATGTGCTGTGTGCCTGGAAAACTTTACCCCTCAAAAAGATCTACTATCTGATTCTTTCCAGAGAAAGCGAGCGCCGATCTAAAGGAGTTATTAAACGTGGTCCCCGACCAAAAACCCTGGCCTGTACGTGCACTGCCACGTGGCCCCAAACACCTGGACACTCCAGCTCAGAACTCACCTACTCTCAGTGACGTCTAATCGCTGTGGTACCGAGAAAAGAAACAGGAAGGGACAAGACAGGAGAGGAACCCCGGGGCATCGCTCCGGGGCGGACCTGCCACCCTGGAGTCCAAGCACCCAGGGCCCGGCGAGATCTGTCAGAGCACCCAAGCTGCAGCCATCGAATCATTTCCTTCTGTGTCAACAACTCTCCCCCTGCTCCTGTCCGGGCAGCCTGTTAACGGCTTTGGCCTTCAAAGCGATGTTTGCTCAAAGAACGTTTTTATTTATTTATTTATTTTTGGCTGCGTTGGGTCTTCCCTGCAGATGGTGCTCAGGCTTCTCACTGAGGTGGCGTCTCTTGCTGCGGAGCACGGGCTCTAGGCGCGCGGGCTCAGTAGTTGTGGCTCGCAGGCTCTGGAGAGCGGGCTCAGTAGTTGTGGCGCACGGGCTTAGCTGCTCCGCGGCACGTGGGATCTTCCCGGACCAGGGCTTGAACCCGTGTCCCCTGCATTGGCAGGTGGACTCTTAACCGCTGTGCCATCAGGGAGGTCCCTCAAAGAATCTTTTGAAAATTTAACGAGCCTCAGTTTATCTTTTAACAGGTTGAAACTGCTGCCTGCTTGTGTGTTAGCAACGGGGCATGCGGGCAAGTCGGCAAAGACAGCCGACAGCAAATCCGTTTACTTGATGCTTCTTGCATCCATCTTCTCCGGGCCAGTGTGCAGACACGCTCTGACGGCACTTTGGTTCAGCGGTGGAAAAGGAGAGCTGGCTCCAGCCGGCTGTGGCTTCGAGATGCCCTGGAAGGGCAGCCAAGGAGGGGACCTGGGTGGTGCCTGCCTGTGTCCAGATGAGCACTTTAGGAAGCAAAGGTCACCTGAAGAATGTTCACAAAGAATGAAGACGAAGGCCGCCTAAGTGGGCACAGGGAACAGGCTCGGGGTTCGGGATGTGTTTTCTGCTCAGAAGCTCCTTTGGCTCCGTATGGCTGACTCCCTAAAGGTAAGCGAGTGAACACAGACCACGGGTCCCTGGGAAGGGGCCCCCCTCACCCCTCACCCCCTCCCACCCTCCCTTCCCCATGCCTGGAAGCGGTGCTTGGTTTTCATGCTGCTGCCGATAACACAGGCCTGGAAGGAAGCTGCTTGCATTTCAAAGTGTTAAGATATGGTCTGCGCTGCTGCCGCTCTAACGGGAGACCCCAGGCCCGAATGCTTCGAGCCACCCTCCCACTCTGTGCCCACCCAGAGGCGTACCCGGCACCCTCCCCTGAAGGACCCCCTGGGTCGGGCGCTGGTCCCCAGCACCCCGCAAGCCTCAGTGTCTGGTTTGAAGCTTTGGATCGAGAGGCTTTTCTGAACCGTCTCCACGGTCACCTTGGTATGTTTTGGGTTCTCCAAACGGGCTCGCAACTTTCTGCGGTGGGAACATCAGTGGCCGTCAGCTTACCCGGCCCCTGCCCACCGCTGTCCATTTGCTGGTGGACGCTACAGAGGCAAGTCCCTTAAACTCAACAAGCTGGAGTCAGGTGGGGCCTCCGTCGTTACAGAGAAAAGCAGCCCCCTCTCACGGAGGCCGCAGCCACTCGCAAGCCTCAGCTGGGTTCGCATCTCTGCGGTGTAAGTCACGGGGTCACCCTGCCAGTCCTGATTCCTCAGGTCACGACTTCCGGCCACGGGGGGAGGGGCTGAGTCCCCACCGGCTTTCTCTGCAGCCACCGACTCCGACTCCATTCCTCCCCCATCACCCCAGTGTTGCTTTATCGCACTTTTGGACTAAATCCTGTTCCTCGGTGGTGATGGGTGTAAGTCCACAGCTGAGCCACGTGGTCAGTCAGGCTTACAATCCCTTTCTTGTTCATTCATCACCCAACATTCGGACGCTGAGAAGCAGCGGTGAACAAGGGCGACGTCCCAGCTCTCGAGCAGACACGGGTGGTTGTCGAGGAGACAGGCGACGGACAAGCAAACAGAGAACGGGGTGACGGGCAATGGAAGAAAATCCAGGCGCAGGGGACAGAGGACGAGAAGGGGGACGCTATTTCACTCGGGAGGTCTGCAGGCTTCTCTGAGGATGACCGGGCCACAGGGCTCCCTGGGGAACGATGCTCCAGGCAGGGGAGGGCAGTGCAGAGGCCCTGAGGCCAGCAGGCCAGGGCAGAGCACGAGGACGGTGATGGGAACAGGGAGTGACCAGGCCAGCAGCCGGCCGAGGGGTCGGGAAACGCTCCGATAAGAGCCAGACAGTCAATAGCCTTCTGCTCGTCACTGCTCAACGCTGCTGAGGATCTGTAAATGAGCGGGCCTGGCCTCACGCCGATAGCATTTATCTGCACAGCCAGGTGGACGGCAACCTGAGCCCTGGGCTGCAGCCGGCTGGCGGGCTGTGCTGCACGGCCTGCAGGCAGAGAACAGCTGATCGCCTCCGTTGAACAGAACGCTCCATTTCCACGTGTTTACCGCTGAGTGGGACCGGAACTCCGCCGAAGGGCTTCTCTGGGTGAGCGCAGCCCAGGTTTCCCGGCCAGGCAGGGATCCCCGCTCCCGCTCACCCAGGTGAGAGGTGCAGCGTGGGGACAGCCTTCCCGCGCGATCCTGACTACACCGCTCCCCGGCCTCCTGGGCCCCGCGTGGCTGCACACAGTCTGATGCTGCTCTGGTTCCTGGCCTGCGGCGGGACCCGCTGTTTTCTCCCTGGAAGCCTTTACGATCCTTTCTTATCCTAGGTGTCTGAACGTCACAGTGAGGCTGGGAAGCTCATCCACTGGGCGGGGAACCCGGCAGCTCTCGGAAACTTGGGCCGTTAGTTATTACTTTCTTTCCCTCCGTTTTCTCTCTCTTAAAAAAAAAAAATTCCTATCAGCTGGCTAGTAAACAGCCGGGATTGATCCTTTCATGTCTTTTTCCTTCTCTCTTCATTTTCTTTCATGGGTTCTCTTTCTCGCATTCTTTTTTCTTTCTCCATATGTTTTTCTCTCTCACGTTTACTTTCTGTGACGGTTAGTTTTCTGTGTCAGTGATGGGCAGTGATTTAGTCAAACATTAGTCTAGGCGTCGCCATGGTTCCCGTCCACCATTCCTCGAGTTGAGGTGGAGAAGCTCAGCCTCCACACTGGGGGTGGGCCTCACCTAGTCAGCAGAGGGGCCTTGGGAGCAAAACCGAGGTTTCCCTGAGGAGGAAGGGGTCCCCACCTGTGGACGGCGGCACCTGCTCCCCCCACTTGAGCGTCCAGCCCGTCAGTCCCTGCTACAGACTTTGGACGTGCTGGCCCCGCGATCATGCCTGCCCGTCCCCTGAAATAAATCTCCTTACATTCACACACACACACACACACACACACACACACCCCTAACTCACTATAATACAGTTACATACATCGTTTTAAAACACGTCCACCTAACCCTCGCCCAGGACCATCCTGTGGGGAGCCGACGCCCGTCCCTGCCCCCTGCTTGTACTTGGCAGTGAGGGGATAAAGGCTCACGTCGCGTCCTGTTTTCATCCTGCTGCTGTCCTAGCTGGCCCCTCGCACCACGATTCCCCACCTGGTTCTCATCCCCCACCTGCCGCTACCTGCGCTCCTGTTCTCTCTAGATTCTTCCTTTACCGCACTCCGTGGGGATGCTCTAGGGGCAGAAACAAAGGCTCGTGCTTGAGCTGCCGTGTCTCTCCAGCAGGCGGGCCCGAGATGACGGTTTCTGTCTGCAGAAGCCTTTGTAACCCAGTTTTAGGCCCCAGGGGGCTCTGGGCCTGCCCCGGGAGCCCCCAGGAGTGAGGCCCACAGGCTGGTCTGCGTCTCTGGGCCTTGGCCTCCCTCCCAGGCCTGGAGCTCTCTGGGAGATCAAGGGCACACCTACCTGTAGAAGGACCATTTCAGCAGGAACTGCCGCGCAGCCTTCGGGAAGCTGGGGCTGCCCGCGTGCTGCTTCAGGACCTGGGTGACTACGTTGTCCAGCCAGCTGGCCCACTGGTCCAGGGAGCTCTGCTGCTGCAGGGTCAGCTTGAAGTCCTGCTCCAGACGCTGCACCACGCCCTCCTCGCACTGGCACACCCACGAGGCCTGCTCCTGTAGGGCGCGGGCAGGCGAGGGCCGGGTCAGGACGGAGGGACAGCGACATCTCCCGGGCGCGGCCCTAGGCCGGACACACACCAGCACAGACACCTGCTACTCTCGACCTTTTCCAACTGCGAACTCGGCACCCGCTTCATGGGGCAGAGACGGATGGCCATCCAGAGGGAACCTGCCCGGCTTCCAAGGGCCTAAATCCAGGCTCCCTGCATCCTAGGCCCAGGCTGTACCACGTCTTCGCGTTGCGTTATTTCTAAGCGGCCAGTCCTCTGTGTGCGTGTTTCTGTTTATTCGGTGGATAAACTCAGGGCCTACACTAGACGTAAACACAGCAGCGGGACTCCCCTGACGGCGGCTGCGCTTTCCTAAGCCCAGAGGAGAGAGCCGTGAACGTGGCAGCGGGAAGGCAAATTTTTAATGAAAATGGGCCAAGGCGTCGTCCCAGAGCCTGGAGGCCAGGGGGACGATCACGCAGCGGAGCCCGGGGGTCCCTGAGGACTGTGGGTGCCTCAACTCCGACCCTTCTCATGCAACAGGAGCGTGGGCCGGGCCCGGGTGCGGGGAAGCGCTCGGGAGAGTCACCTGCACGTTGGCGAAGTCCACGCGGTTGAGGTCGCTCAGCATCTGGCTGATCTGCGCCGTGTTCTGCAGCACTGCCCGGGCCGCCTGCGCCAGGTGGTTGAGCGACGTGTAGCGCCGCAGGGTCTGTGCGAAGGCACCGACCACGCCGACCTGGGGCCCGGGAAGGTGTGAGGCTAAGCCCGTCTGCCTCTCTTCTCAGGGGCGTGGCGGCGGAGGGACCAGGAGAGAGCTGTTCTGGCCGGGGAGGGGGACCCGCCCTCCGGACAGTCTCAGAGACCCCAAAATTGAGAATCAGTGAGGGACACGGGCGTCACCAACGCATGGAGTGGCATCTACGGCGGACGCCACGGCACAGGTGAGTTAGAATTCAGCACAGAGTGGCCAGGCCCTGGCTTCTAGGATCCCTCTGGCTCTCTGGGAGGGACGGTAAAAATACCGATTCCCAGGCACCACTGGATCAGACGCTGCGAGGTTTGGCCTGGAAATCTGCACTTTTGAACAGCTCCCCAGCCGATTCCTAAGCGTCCCGACGTTTTACACTCACTGGTCTAACCAGTCAATTCCAGCTTGTGGGGAGCGGGCAGGCGGGATGCCCAGATCTGGCCCCGCCTGTCTGAGGCCGTGAGAATGCTCTCGGGAAGGGAACGGGATCGCCTCTTTTCCACAGGTAGGCCTGATGGCCATGTTTTACATTCTGATCTGTGGCCGAGACGCTAGCAGTAAGGGTGACCACAAAGAGGTTAAATCCCCCTCCTGTGACGAGCAGAGCAACACTCGATCTGCTCTGAATCCACCCACAAGTATCACAGCAAAGACATCTTCTGTCGGGCGCGCCCAGCCAGCACCTGTCCTCCACCAGCAGCAGCCCTGGGCCTTCCTGGAAGGACCACTGACCCTCAGGACACACAGCAGCAGCCCCCTTTCTCTGGGGCCCAGCGGTCCTCCAGTTCCCTGGGGGCAGAGGGACAGGAGCCCCCTCCCTTCACAGCACAGCGGGGCCCGAGGGGGCCTCAGGCTGTAGCCTCTGCCCTCCCCCCCCCACCCCGCAGCGTGGTCTGGAGGCCCAGACCCCAACCCCGACTGTTACCTTGGTCTGGATGACCTGCTGTGGGAAGTCGCTCATGGCGTTCGTCAACCAGCCTTCCAAGCTCTTGGCAAAATTGCGGATGGCCTGTGTCAGGGTACCTGGGGAACACGAGTGTTAACGGTGAGAAAGGCAGTCTTGCCCGTCAGAATCAGCTCACGTGTAAGAGGTGCACACATGCCGTGGAAATGACCACCCACCGAGAACAAGCAACACAGAGAAGAGATGGTGAGAATTTAGGGCACTTAGTGACGGAGGTGCTGAGTGGGAAGTGGGGCCAGCGCCGTTGATCTCTGCTCGTCTACCTGTCTATGCCGGCAGTTCTCACCTGGGGTGATCCTGACCCCAGGGGACACTGGGCCATGTCTGGGGACATCATGGTTGTCACACTGGGGCGGCTCCTGGCATAGAGGGGATGGGGCCACAGTGCCCAGGATCGCCCCCCCCCCGGAGATGGACCCACCCCGATGTCATTGGGCTGAGTGGAGGGGGGAGACCCTGATACACACACGTGCATGTAAACATATTCTACCAACTTCCAAATTTATTTTGAGATGGCTTGCAATAAGAAATACATTTCTTTGAAAAAAGAAAACCACCCCTAGTGTTATAAAAGGAAATATACCCAATCTCAAACCTTAATACACAGAGACACTAAAAGCACACTACACTGAACAGTCTCCAGGCTGGCAAGGCCAAAGGAGAACTGCAACGCTTTTGCTGCTTCCCATTTTCTGGCCAAAAAAAGCAGCAGACCAGGTCATCAAAAAGATGGAGGTTCCCCAGCGCTAACAGGCACGGATGTTAACAGGCAGCCGTTCGGGAAGAGCGAGGCTCAGCGCCCGGCCTCCTCGCCCTCACGAGGTCGGGACTCGCGTCCTGGGGGCCCGAGGGACAGCCCCTGTGTAGGGGGCCCCCTGGTGGCGGGTGTTGTCACCACCTCCGGAGGCCACAAGGGCGGGTGGGGGCAGAGGCCCTGGGAGGGTCCCCACGGCCCGCATCAGCCCCAGACGGGTGTAGCCATCAAGGGCCACCATCTCCTTTTCTCTCCCTTCCTCAGTCAAGGCCGCTGGAATCTGGAGAAGGTCTGAAGAATCCACCCCTTCATGCTGCAGACTCACAGTGCTGGGAGGAAGCCGAGCTCAGCGTCAGATCAGCTGGGGAAGCGGGTTAGAACCCGACTCAGCCCCCGCCCCCCGAGGCTGTCCCGCGACCTCGGCTGGCCTCCACTCTGGGAGTCTCCTCTGGGGAGGTCGCGGGCAGGGGTGTGGGGAGGGGCGCTTACTGGGCACGGGCCGCAGCACGTCTGGGATGAGGATCTCCACCAGCGCCTGGTACAGGATGTGGTCGCAGGTCCTCATCCACCTGAGCACGGGGTCGCACTTGCACAAAGATACCAGCTTGTCCTTGGGGAGGACGGCGCCCTCCGGCTCCTCGTCGCTGCGGGGGACGGGGTCACGGGGGACACAGGTGAGCCGTCAGCCCGGGGCCTGCTCTCGCGGGATAAGCCGAGTGAGGCTGCAGGACCACCTGGGGCAGGCAAGCTCCCTGCCCCGGGGTCACCCCTGAGATCCTCGCCGAACAAAGGGAAATGCCATACGAGTCGCACACCAAGTCAGAGGAAAGACCACACGTGCGTGAGGGGGTCTGAGCGCTGATTCTTGAAAAGCTGGTGCATTTGTGGGTGTCAGCAGGAGACGGTCTGCAGGGCAAACCCAGGCCCCGTGAAACTGAGGCCTGTCTGGGGGCTGACGGGCAGTACCTGGTAGGTAGAGAGGCAGGGCCGTCGCCGGAGGAGGCTTTAGAATTCCAGAAGGAAAGCCACAGCTTCTCAACGTAGTGGAACTGGAGGTTCATCACGACATCTAACGTGGCCTAGGAATAAACACGGCTGGATAAACACTCCGCTGCACTCACACCACGTGGCTGCCATCAGACTGTGCCAAGCAAGCGGCCGGGATACAGGCTGCAGCGGCGTCTTTCCAAACACAGACAGACCACGAGAGGGGATGGGAGTGAACGAAGGAAGATTCCATCCACCCCCTGGCCAGAGGGAGGGGGGGCCAGTCCTGTCTGCTCCTTGTCACCAGCGGGGACACCCAGTGATGCTCTGGCGCTGGTCTCGCGCAGCTGACCGAGGCGCCCACCGGAGCCCCCAGGGCCCGGGCTCGGGGTTCGAGGGGCAGTCACCTCGCAGTGCCGCCGGTAGGCCAGCTGAAGGGCCTTGATGTCGTGCAGCGTGATATTCTCCTGCAGCAGGACACTGCCCAGGTCGGGCGCCGGGAACTCCGGAAAGACGTGGGACACATCTGTGGCGGGGTGGGGGGGAACGAGGGGGCAGGTCAGCAGGGCTGGGGACACTGGCCGTACGTGCTGGTGACCCCATGCCAGCCCTGGCTCCTCTCACACCACACAACCCCTAAGCTTTGGTTTTCTCAGGTGCAGGGAGGGGACAACATCGTCAGCTCCCGGTGACGCACAAAGCACAGGGCCTGGGCCTGGCACACATCGTGCACTCCATCCCCCCAGCATTGGGGGCGCCCAGGTGGGTGACAGCGTCTCCAGAAGACCCAACAGGGGAGGGTTCAGTCGGGGCTCAAAGATACACTAAAGTACACGGAGGCCACCCACGTCTTTAGCGTATCCCGTCACTCCGGGGCAGGGACGGTGCCAGCTGGGGAGGGACTCTCCCAGGGAGGGGCCCGGCTCAGCTGAAAGTACATCCAGTCTTCTTTCTGACGGGCATTTCATTTTACTTATTTTCTTTCAGTTTAGTACATTTTATATTTTAATTTTTGGGCCGAGCCACGCGGCTTGTGGGACCTTAGTTCCCCGATCAGGGATCAAACCTGTGCCTCCTTGCTGTGGAAGTGTGGAGTCCTAACCACTGGACCACCAGGGAATTCCCCTTATTTACTTATTTTTGTGATGGTCACTTTAATCCATTATTTTTGGATTAATATCCATTAATTTGGGAGGAACATGCTGATTATTCTAAAGTCTCAGGGATTCCACAAAGAGGGTTTATCTAGAACTTTCTATGTAATTGAAAAGGTGATATACAAGAAAACTGTCTAAAGCATCCCTGTAGATGCTGCTGGTGCCGAAACCCAGCCCCAGCGGTGCCGAGTGGCCCCAGAGCCTTGCCAGCAGGCCCTGCGCCGGGGTGGGGGGCTCACCGATGTACTGCTGGTGGTGTTGGCTCTGGGCAGCCATGGCCTGCTCAGGTGTGCTGTGCAGGCTGCCGTGCGAGCCGCTCTCCCCAAGGCTGTCCGTCTTCTGGGCTGGCCGGTACCTGGGCAGGGAACACGTGTGCCACCGTGAGGCCCTAACAGCACTGCCCGGAAGGGGCCCAAGGAGTGGAGGACGGAGCAGGATTTGGTTTGGGGTGTGTGTGTAATTTTCTAAAACTAGTGGTCAAGTAGAAAACACGAAATTTACCATTAAAATGGTACTTTTGAGTGCACAGCTCAGTGGCATTAAATACATTCACATTGTCGGGCAACCGTCCCCACGATCATCTCCAGAACTTTCTCATCTTCCCAAACTGAAACTCTGTCCCCATGAAACACGGACCCCCCCTTCCCCTCCCCCAGCCCCTGGCCCCCACCATCTACTTCCTGTCTCTATGGATGTGACTCCTCTAGGGACCTCACATAAGTGGGATCAGACAGTATTTGTCCTTTTGTGTCTGGCGTATTTCACTGAGCATCACGTCCTCTGGGTTCATCCGTGTTGCAGTGAGTGTCAGAATCTCCTTCCTTTTGAAGGCTCAATACCACTCCACTGTACAGATGGACCACATTTGTTTATCCACTCATCTGCTGATGGACACCCGGGTTGCTATTACATGTATATATTCTAACACTTCTCTCTTAGAAGACAAGTGAACTTCTTTACATAGAGTCCCAAACGTCTTACTATTATGTGATCTCAAAGCACGTTCTGAGACTTTTGTTTTGCCCTGAGCTAGAAAGCAGTGGACAGCCTGTCCAGGCAGCAAACTGAGAAACGTAACAGAGAAGGGCTTCCTGGGGTGAGTTGCTCGAGCCCTGAGGGATGCGCATGCCAGGTGGGATGGGTGCGAGGGACCCAGCCTGAGCTGGGCGCGCCTTTCCTTGTGGGATGTAGGGCCAGGCTCACTGGGAGGAGGGAGGACGCCGCTCAGAGGTATGTGGACCACCTGACTTTGTGGGGGTGGGTGGCTCTAAGTGTCAATGGCACAAGCCTGTGGCCCGAACCCCACAATGGAAGCTACAGAGTCCTTGTCTGTGGACGATCAGGTACAGGATGGACTCCTGGTCCCGGAGAATGTTCCAGGCTCTCTCCTGCGACCTCCAACTCCCGTGATCGGCCATGTGGTTGGGAGTCACTGGGACCCCTTAGAGCAGCTAAAATGGGGTGTCAGCCACGCAGCTCAGCTGAGGCACAAAGGTGCCACATGGTAGAGAGTGGGGTGCATCCCTGCCCTGGAGCAGAATGGACCCCGGAGAGGGGCTGGGGACAGGCGGGCAGAGGGGTGAGTGGAAGGGGCCAGGGAGCTGGTATTCGAGTGGGGCCCTGAACGGGGCGTCTCCAACTAGGGCTGCAGAGCACCATTTCTGCCCCCCGTTTTGAAAATAAAGTTTGACGGCCACATGGCCACACCCGTGGCCTTAACGTGGAGGCTTTCACGCTACACGGGCAGAGCTGAAGGGTCTCCACAGATAGTGTCTGCCTGCGAAGCTGAAGATATGCGCTCTCTGGCCTTTTACAGAAAAAGTGTGCTGACCCCTGCCTTAAAAGATGAGTAGGTCTGTGAGGCAGAGAACATTCCGGAAAATGACCAGGCCTTTCCAGCCATCAGATCCAAAGGTCAGGAGGAAGCAGCAACTTAAGTGTATAAGCTTCTTTCTCCTGGCTTCTGGGGTTATGTTCAGTGTTCTCTCTCTTTCTTTGAAGACAGAGAGGAAAAATCAAAGATCTGTGATTCTAACTCTATGGCATTCAGGAAAAGGCAAAAACTACGGAGCCAGTAAAAAAACATCGGCGCTCGCCGGAGGTTGGCGGGGAGGAGGGACCAACAGGAGGAACAGGGAGCGTTTTTAGGGCAGTGAAACTACTCTGTACCATCCTCTAATAGTGGATACAGGTCATTGCACCTTTGTCCAGAGCTACAGAGTGTACGACACAGAGAGTGAACCCTAATGTTGGCTATGGACTTCGGGTGACAAGAACGGGTCTATGTGGGTTCATCAACTGTAACAGAGGCACAACACTGGAGGCCGGGGTGTGGGGGGGCACGTGGGAAATCTCTGCACCTTCCACTCACTTCTGTTGTGACCCTGAAACTGCCCGCGTCCTGCTGGCCTCACTCCACGCCAGGTGCAAGTGAAAGGCAGGGCTCTCCCAGGACGCCGAGATGGGGGCGAATGTGAACTGGTTTCCTCCACTCCATCCATGTTTCATCCATTTCCAGGTTGTGGTCAATGGTCGAGAAACCCCTCTCCCTCCGTTCCTGCTAGTGAAACCTCTCAGCGGGCTGGCTGATCCTTGGGCCGGCCGGGCAGCTCACCCACCTGGGCTTCTGATGCACAGGCTGCTGCCGCATGGCCATGTACTGCGTGTCCTCCTGCAGCCGGTTCAGGGGCGAGTCTGGCTTCAGACGGATCCCGTAGTAATGATACTTGGAGTTGCCCCTAGGAACCAAACATCTGGGGTCAGCTCTCTTTGCAGATGTCCTAAACCGCAAGACAGGGCTCTTTCCCCGCCCTTCTCCCTGGGCTCTCGGGGCCAGTGTTCCCTGGACCGTGTGGGAAACGTTCATGGGCTGTCCCGTGGTCAGAGAGGTTCAGGAAATTCTGTAACCACTTCCCCCTCTGGGATACTCCCTTCTTGTTTTTTAGTATGAAAAAAGCTCTGAGAAGTCCTGCAGTAAAAAAGCCAGTTCAACTTTGTTTAACCCAGCATGGTCTAATAATAGCAATAATCATACTTAGTCATCTAATAACACGTTTTACAAATGGTACAGTTTGGGAAACACTACCTTATTTTATTATGGGAGAAATGATGCTCAAAGGTTTTAAAATAATTTCTTTAAGGAAACAGGTCAGAAGGGGCTCCTCTGGAGGGAAGGACAGACACGCGGCCTTGCAAACACCCCCAGCTCACGGGCTGCCATTTTCCCTGAGCTGGCAACATGGACAAGCCGGGGAGCCTGGGTCCTTCCCAGGTGAGGTGCAAGCTGAACTGGTGCTCGGAGGGAGAAAGCGGGGAGGATGGGCCCCAATTCTGAGGCCAGCATCTGGGACCCTCTGAAGGTGGAGGCCCCAAGAGCCATCTGGAAAGGCCCCAGGGCAGCAGTGGCCGTGTCCCCAGAGGTCATGGACTCCTCCTCCCTGCCCCCCTCTGGCTGCCCACGTTTTGTAAGGATGTCCTCCGTCAGGGATCCCAAGGTGGCAGAGAACTCTCCTGGCCCCGTCCTTTAAGACACCCAGCATGCCCGCTTCTGGGAGGGGGTGAGTGAACGCCGAGACCCACGTGTGTGCGCCTTCACCCAGGGCACGTGGCGAACCCAGCCGGCCACAGGTCAAAGCCATGCAAGATGATCTCATGTGTGGGCCAAGCCCCCCCGCTTTGAACAGAGCGAGGCCGTCTTTTCCTAGTGGGAGGAGCCAAACGCTACTGCCGGGGTCGGGGGTGGAGGGAGAAAGATTCCTGCCCGTGAGGGTCCCTGGCCGCTGTCTGCCAAGAGCAGCCCAGAGTGGATCAGTCCAGGCACAGCAAAAAGCATCAAGACATGGTAAATCCAACTCGACTAGACAGTCCAGAGGCTGCTATTTAAAAAGCCTGCTATGGCCAGGACACGGAAGCAACCTAAGTGTCCATCGACAGATGAATGGATAAAGAAGATGTGGCACATATATACAATGGAACATCACTCAGCCATAAAAAGAAACGAAACTGAACTATTTGTAGTGAGGTGGATGGACCTAGAGGCTGTCATACAGAGTGTAGTAAGTCAGAAACAGAAAAACAAATACCGTATGCTCCCTCTCTCTCTCTCTCTCTCCCTCTCTCCCTCTCTCTCTCTCTCTCTCTCTATATATATATATATGGAACACATATATATGGAATCTAAAAACAAAGGTCATGAAGAACCTAGGGGCAGGACAGGAATAAAGACGCAGACGTAGAGAATGGACTTGAGGACACAGGAAGGGGGAAGGATAAGCTGGGACGAAGTGAGAGAGTGGCATGGACATATACACACCACCAAATGTAAAACAGATAGCTAGTGGGAAGCAGCCGCATAGCATAAGGAGATCAGCTCGGTGCTTTGTGACCATCTAGAGGGGTGGGATAGGGAGGGTGGGAGGGAGGGAGATGCAAGAGGGAGGAGATATGGGGATATATGTATAGCTGATTCACTTTGTTATAAAGCAGAAACTAACACACCATTGTAAAGCAATTATACTCCAATAAAGATGTTAAACAATAAATAAATAAATAAAATAAAAAGCCTGCTATGGAAAATGTCAAACGAAGGGAGAGAGCCGAGGTGAAGCAAAGGGAGAGAGCGGAGGTGAAGCCCGTGTCCCATCACCAGGAGAGAAGCGATCACGGCCCACGGGTGGCCAGGCCGGGCCCAGGCTACCACCAATTCAGGGCAACTCCAGGTGCACCCGGAGCCGCGGACGTCAGGACGTGCCAGGAGGGGGGAGCCTCACGTTCTCCCGAAGCTCGATGTCTGTATAAGGGAAGAGGAGGGTGGGGGGCGGGTGCAAGGGCTGCCAGACACCCTCACCGACCCACCTGGTACCCAGCCGCCGCGTCCTCAAGCCCATGAACACGGAGCGGATCAGCTTCCCAAAGGAGGCCGCGTTCACGGGGTCCAGCTTGTGTTCCTGGCAGTGGCGAAGGTAGTGGTTGTAGAGCGAACTTCTGGGGAGACTCACGCCTTCTGCGGTTTCGTAATTATCCAAGAGCCACTGGAGCTGGATGGACAAGACAGGCCGGATGCTGACGTGGACGCACCGACAGCATCACACGCCTTCTGTCCTCCGAAACGACGGGGAAACTCACCTCTACTCTCACCGATTCAGGTTCAATTACTTAATAGCTTCTTTTCACTTGCTTGTTTATTCCTTCGATTTCTAGCCAAGCTTTCAGGTTCCTTGACTTAATTTACAAAAACCTGCCCGTGATGGAGACTGAAACCCCCACAGGCCTCGCACACCAAATGCTTCCTAAACCTACGGGGATGGAGATGATCTGAGCACACGGGAAAGGAAGACGAAGAAAAACCCCACGGCCCATCCGCATGGCGCCCCGCGTTAAGGTAATACCACCGCAGTCCCGGTACTCAGGACCGAGAAGAAAACAAGCGGGAAACTGAATAAGAGACTGAAAGGCTCGTGTGCCAGGTTTTGTGCTCAGGCCAACGGCAGGGAAGAGGATCCAAGGCCGAAGTCGAGGCCCCCAGAGGTCAGCACTGACTCAGAACTGTCCACACAGAGAGCTCAGTTCCCACACCAAGGGAGGCTGAACCCCCCCACCCACTTTGCACCCACTGCAGAGCGCCCCAAAGGCTGCGGTTTGATCCTGGCTTCGAGACTGTTCCCCAACGGAGGGAGGTCTGGATTTGGAAGAGTGAGCCCGGGAACGAGGCCAGAGGCAGGATCCCACATCAGGATCGGGATGGGGCTCCCTGCTGCCGGGGCCCCTGTCCTCTGTGCTCCCACACGCTCTGTCCTTCTCCCTGGGAGATCACCGCCCCACCCCCCTACCCCCAGCCCCCTCTGGTGCTCGGCCCTGCAAGCCAGGTCATGGCCCCGCCCAGACTTATAAGCCCGCAGGCTGCGAAGTCTGCTGGCGTCACACTTTTAGACACGTTTCGGAATGGTTTTAACATGCAAAGAGGTAGAGAGAACAGACTCCTGAACTCCTGCTTCAACAATCACCACCTCAGGGCCCATTTTACTTCCTCTAAGCCCCACACACTGCCTCTGCCACTTTATCTCAGTTTGAACTCATTTTTAGTGGAGTATAGTTGCTTTACAATGTTTTTGTTTGTTTGTTCATTTGGGGCCACGCCTCGCAGCATACAGAACTTCCCCGACCAGGGATCAAACCCGTGTCTCCTGCAGCGGCAGCGCGGAGCCTTAACCACTGGGCCGCCAGGGAGGCCCCCTCCTGCCATTTTAAAGTGAACCTGATGTGCCTTCGTTTCCTCCCTGGGGACTCCCGGCTCTAACATGGACCCAAGTGAGAGGCGGGTGGTGGGGTCAGCTGGTGGCAGGGATGCTAGAATAAGGAGAGTTTCAGAGGCAGAGGGTGGGCCTGGGCTGGATGTGCAGGATGAAGGTGGGGAAAAGGTCAAAGGTCCAGGTGAAGGGGCCCTGGGGGACTGACAGAGCAGAGGGTCCTATAACACAGCGCTCCCCAACCTTTTTGGCACCAGGGGCCGATTTCGGAAGACAATTCCTCCATAGATCGTGGCGGGGGGGGGAGGGTTCAGGCGGGATGGTGGGGAGTGCTGGGCAGCAGCAGGTGTAGCTTCACTCGCTCCCCTGCCGCTCACTTCCTGCCGTGCGCCCCGTTCTTAACAGGCCGTGGACCAGTGACCCCTGCTCTAACGGAAAGACAGACCTCTGGCCTCCAGAAGGGCTGGGGTAATGGGTTCTGCTTTTGGGAGGTCGGGGAGGAGTGCTGGGCTGGCATTCAGGGTGGAGGTCGGGACCAGATGTGTCAATGCGACACCAAGGAGCCCAGAGCGGGTCTGTGCGGGTGGGGCCGAGGAGGGGTGTGTGAGGCTCAGCGTCGAGGCCTGGGGTCAGGTGCTGCCCCGGGGAAAGCCTGCAGCGGGCCCTCCCCAGGCGCCCTGCAGATGAGGTATCTGCCAACCACCTCCTCACTGAGGGACCAGCCCAGCTGCCGATCCGAGTAGCAGGTTTGAACCAGGGGTCGCCGGCCCTCCCGCCACCACGAAGCCTGCCTCCTGCAGCCCTGTGTGCACGGGAACAGCTGTCCACTCATCTGTCCGTGTGCTGTGGGATGTCATGTGCTGGCTGCGCCCGTGACCCCACAGGGGGATCCCACCCCCACCAGTGGGTGAAGCGGGGGCAGTTACCACGGGGATGCGGGGAGGAGGAGGCAGCAGCCAGAGGCTGAGGGAAACAGGAAAGGGTTCTTCAGTTCCCCCTTTGGGAAAGAACATCACGGTTTCTACTTTCCATCAAGTCACCTAGATATATAATTTTCAAACTTTCCTTAAATGTGCTTTTTTCTACACAAAGGTGGCAGAGCACCCCCCTTCTCTCTCCAAGGCTTTGCTCCGGCCCACGGCTCCCACCCTTAGGGGCCATCTCCTTGGCGCCCCTTGTTCTGACCCCTCCTTCTGTCTTTGATGCTATGAACAAACTGTGAACTTAAATGGTTTAATCACTGCGCACGGCCTGCCCCAGGAGGCACCCTCCTCCCCACCCCGAGGCCCCCCCGCACACACCCCGCCCCCCGCTGCCTTGACTCTGGGGCTAAGGGACTGACATCACCGGGAGTTGGGAAGGAGGGCATGGGTGGCACAGTGGAGCTGCTCCTTTCTTGCGGGTACGCCCCCGGCCTGCTTTGCGCTCACAGCGGCGGGGGGGGGGGGGGGCTGTCCCACCAGCTACGAGCCTTCCCACAGCAGCCTCACCAGCCACAGGGGGGAACTGGGTTCTGTCTGTCGCCCCGCTGTCTAGTTGCAATTGGCTCAGGATCCAGGATGAGGAAGGGCTGGTATTTGCTGGCCCCTGAGCCCCAAGGTTTTCCAGAGCACTGCTCGCCGACACAAGCATTCATTTTCTATCGCTTGTCTCCCTGCTGAAACGGGAGCTCCAGGAAGCAGAGACAGAACCGGGTCTGCCCACGTTTGCACCCCGTGAAGATGCCTCAAGAAACGCTGATGGAGAGGAGGAGGGGCCCGCAGAGCGGAGGGGACCCCAGCATGAGGAGAGCTGACAGCCTCTGGATGTGCAAGCAGGAGGCTCTTCCTGTCTCTGCCACCCTGGCTGGGGAGCACAGGCCGCTTCTAGGGGAGTCCTCTGTGGGAGGGAGAAGCCGGGACCAGGGGCCCAAATGTCTCAGGGTCTGAGCGCCCGGGGGGGTCCTCAGGAGGCTCCTCAGGCCGCGAGGTAGAGGCCTGGGAGGGGCCCCGGACCAGGTCCTGAGAGATGCAGGCTGAGACCCCGCCCGGCACCTGACATGACTGGCCCAACGTGAGAAGGAAGGTTTGGGAAATAAGATGATGGCTTCTGCTCCTGACCACCTGCGCCAAATCCCAAGAATTACACGGAAAGCACACTTCCTTGCGGGTGACTACGTGGACACCGACACCAAGGATGTGTGGTTAACTCCCTCCTGAGTAGAGGTAAGCACAGAGCGAACAGATGCCACCAGCAGCCTCCGAAGCAATAATGGGTTCACTTCCACCCTCTCCGGCGACGAGAGGTGACCCGGAAGGGAGGCTGATGGGAGCTGGAGGGCGGTCTACGGGCTCCGTGAAGGCAGAGCCTCCCCTGTAGGCTGAGCGAGCGCCGGCGGGGTCTGCGCACCGCACTCCTGACGCCGCTACCTGGTGTCATCCCGACCGGCTGAGCATCGCACGTCAGTGACACTAGGTGAACGGCAGGCCCATCTCCCCACCACACAGCCCCGCCTCGCCCGCGGCAGACTGACCGGGTGTGACGGTAGGGAGGCTGTGGCCATGGTGGGTGTGGGGGGGAGAAGTGGTCTGATTCCGGATGGTTCTGAAGGCCAAGGGGCATTGGATGCGGGCTGTGGGCGGAGGAGGGGGCACAAGGATGAGCCTCCAGCAGGACGGCGCTGCCCTGGATGAGCCAGGAAGGTGGCGGGAGGTGCAGGGTCTGCTGTGGGGTGGGGGCGGGGGGCGGTCAGGGCTCAGCCCGCGACACACGTGCGCAGCTGCGCCTCCAGGCGGGCGGGCGCCCTTGGAGGCTCAAGGGTGGAGCTGACGGGAGAGGCCCAGCCTCGACGCCCACTGGGAAAGAGCCTTTCCCTCCAGGAGACCAGGCGGGGTCGTCGAGGTGGTGAGGGGGCCGGGGAAACTCCAAAAAACAGCAGTCCAAGCGCGACCACTGCCGGAGGCCTTCGCCGCCATAATCTGGAGCAACTCCTAGGCAGAGCACCCAGCCCATGAAGCTGCCACAGCCCATCGCCAGCCCAGACTGCAGGGCACGGCTCTGTCACTACACCACCACCTGAAGGCTAAATCATCTTTGACAATTTATGTTTCTTGATTTAAAAAAAAAAAAAAAAAGGTCATACAATCTGAATACGATCCACCTAAAGCAGGTCCTTCTCCCAGGGGCTGGAAATAGTAGTTTATGTGCAGTAAGCAGCGGCCACCTCTGCAGGGACCCATGATGGGGGTCCCTGAGTCAGCAGGGGCTGGGGGCCTCTCCCGATAGACCCGGGGACAGCAGAGGAGCACGCCTGGCTGGCGTGGCTGCAGCCACACGCCACAGTGACACCCTGGTGAGGGATGGCATCTCCATTCCCAGCTCAACTTTCTCTGTCTCCTTCCTCCAAAACAGTCATCCCTCGTTTCCTGCCACCAAATCATGCGTTCCCCTGTTTTAAAGATGGCTTGGGGCCCACCTCTTCCCTCAGGGGCTCCCACACCAAGGCTGGAAGGTCCCTTCAACCCTCAGACACCCTGGTCCGAGTCCCGAGGGCAGCCTGGGGAGCTGGGGTGACCCTGATGTTGGGTTGGGTCTGGAAGGCACAGCCCAGCCTTCCTGGGCTCTGGGCATCTCGCCACCCGGCACCAGGCTCTCCTGCCCGGGCGCGGGGACTGCAGCCGGTGGTGCCCAGGGACAACTGTCTCAGGTGAGCGCGGCCAACTAGGACCACGAAGGGCTCTGCAGGACACAAGGCCGTCTGTCGCCAGGACACACCCTAGCTCTCTCCCCGCCCTCCCTGCCCAGACAAGCTCCTGGCCGGCTGACCGCAGCGCGTGGGGCCGACTCTTTACCGAGATCTTCTTTCTATCCCCTTTGAGTCGCCAAGCCTCAGATCCTACTTCTTACGGCTCCCAATGGGAGAAAATGACTTAACAAACCGCCAGAAGGAAAACGGACACAGGGAGGATCTTCCTGCTCAGAAACTAAACTCAGGAACGGAAGCTGGTTTTGGAGGAGCAGCCAAGGCAAGCCCGCCTCCCGGAGGAAAAGCGTTAGAAAGCCAGAGGCATCCCTGCAGCCAGAGACTGAGGCTCATGCGCTTCACATAGACATTTTAAACTTCCCGCGGATACGCCGCCGGCCTGGGGTCCGCACCCATCCTGCCTTCCTCATGGCTCTCTGGGGCTGCCCTAGCGCCTGGCCTCGCAGGCTGTGCCGTGGCCACGTCTGCTCGAGATCTGAAGAACTCTGGTCCCCGAGCAGAGAATGCTGTCTTGCAGACTTCCTACACGCTCCGCTCTAAGGCTGCAGCCTCCCTTCTCCAGACCTTCCCACCAGGTGACATCATCCGGCAGTGATGGACAACAGGGTGGCCATGACCCACCTAGCCTGGGGCCTGATGGACTTTTGTTTTTCCTTCGAGACAGCCGGGATGAGGCTGCTCTTCCTCCAGGGACCAGCCCTCTGAGGCTCCGCCAATGGGCTGGAGGTGCTGGCCACGCCTGTGCCCCCCGACAAACCCAGAACCTCCTGGATCTTTCCCTAGTGGGCTTCCTGGCCCCGCAGCCCGAATCACTCACTTTGAATGTCGGCCAGTATGAAAGTCTTGCTGGGGTCACAGCTGGGATCGGGTCCAACTAAAGGGGACTTCTTTTCTTTGATGTTTTAATTCTCAAAAGGATGCCAATCCCAACCCGAGTGCTTGAGAAAAGCTGCCAGAAGTGCGCTCTGAACTCCTGCGGCCTGTCCCACCTCCAAACTGCCGAACAAAGTTCCAGTCAGAAGTGCGCTCTGAACTCCTGCGGCCTGTCCTACCTCCAAACTGCCGAACGAAGTTCCAGTCAAGTGAAAGCCGCATTGAGGACGTTTGGAGAAGTAAGGGGAAAAGGGAGGAGTGGGGGGGGGGGGGCGACAGGAGTTTTCCCTCCTCAACGGTCCCCAGAAGTCGAGTCCCTGCACTGTCATCTCTGCCAGCCCCGTCCTGCCACTCAAAGCCACCCAGAGGCAAAGACCTTTGCGCCCTCCTGGTCTTGGGGCCTACGATCACGTGGTGTCCCCAGCAGAGAAAGGTCTTATGCAGCTAAAATCAATAGGAATTAGTTGCTTTGCCCTTTTGTCAAATTACCAATCTTTTTTTATTTTCAAAAAGCTGATCACAGGAGAATTAGCTAAGAACGCTTATGGCACCCCCAATCCGGCGTCATGTTTTGGTTGTGGCCTGAGTACGAATTTATTTACAACGCTTACCCTCTGCCAGGCATGGTGGGGAGGACGTTACATACACTAAGCAGTTTAATCCCTGTTCCCCCCAAGGAGGGAGGCGCTGTCACCCCACTTTCACAAAGGAAGAGCCTGCCTTAATTTCCCTTCGCTGTGGAAGGACGTTTTTGCTGAGTGTAGAAGTCTAGATGGGTTCCCCCCTCTGCACCTTTTCGGCACTTTAAAGGTGTCAACTCACTGCTTTTCCGGCCGCACCGCGCGGCTTGCGGGATCTCCGTTCCCTGAACCAGGGACTGAACCAGCGTCATGGCAGTGAAAGCCTGGAATCCTAACCGTTGGGCCACCGGGGAACTCCCTGTTTGTTTTTAAAATGCCTATGAAGGTGACAAGCAGAGCAGGGCAGACCAGCAGGTTGACACACACTTACATGACTGTTGAGTAAACCGCTTTTGTGTGATGTGATCCCTTCGCTTTTTTGGAGGTTTTCAATCGCCATTTCAAGCTAAAGAAAATGTGCGCAGAAACAAAACAAAACAAAATGGAAAAAAAAAACAAAAACGAAATCAGATGGTTAGCATTAGCCAAGATTGGTTTGTATTAATATCCAAATAAAGATCCGAGCGCCTACAAGATAGAGAGCAGGCTGGACGCAGGCGGGGCGTGGGGGGTGGGCGGGGGCAATGGGTTAGGCCGGGGGCTGAAGCCTCAGCAGGAGCGTTGCTTCATCACGTGCAGAGGAGCCCAGGAGCCCGTCAGACACCAGCAGCAGATGGGGTCCTACTGTCTACACTGGCAGCTGAGTTTTAACACGTCTGCATGTGCACATGCACAACGGGAATGCTTAGTCACTGCGTAAGTTCAAGCGTAAGCAAAGCCAGCACGATAACCGCCTGCTGCTCCCCAAACCCATCGTCTGCACTGGGAGAATCAGAGGACCACAGACCCGGGGACAGGTGATGGCACTGGCTTCCCGGCCAGCCTGCCCTGTCGCAAAACCCAGGGTCTCCCAGCTGGAGGGCTTTGGGAAAATACCAGTAGGCCACGATCCCAGCCCTGCCACTGGGAGGCGCAGGACCCTGGGGCCACGGAGATGAGACAGCTCACAGAGGGGTCCTCCTGGGGGAGGGCCTCCGACATGGGTCCTCAGACCTCGCGGAAGCGAGGGCTGAGGGGCCATGGCAGGTCTATGCAAAGGAAGAGACACCCGGCTGAGTGTGGCAACCACCACATCTGAGCCCGACTTGTACATGAAAAATGCAAACATAAGCTCTGCTGGAGGCAGTGACCCTTAAACATCCAGGGGCGGCAAAGACCACAGAGACGATTCTGTAAAAAGCAGGCCCAACACTTTCAGAAAGTGCAGCTGGACCACTTCCCCAGAGCTGAGTTCAGGAACGAGGGGTTTCTGCTTCGCCCCCCACCTATTCTGACCACTGTTGAGAACATCTACTCTTGCCACTGCTATTCAACACTGTACTGGAAATTCTAGCCAGGGTCATTAGGCCACAGAAGAAAATAAAAGGCATCCACAGAGGAAAGGAAGAAGCAAAACTACCTCTATTTGCAGATAGCATGATCTTAAATATGGAAAGGATCTCCCCAAAAACTATCAGCACCAGGGTTGCAAGATACAAGATCCATATACAAAAGTCAATTATATTTCTAAATAACGAACGATATGAAAATGAAATGGAGAAAACAATCCCATTTGCAATAATATCAGAGAGAATAAAATACCTAGGAATAAATTTAACCAAGGAGGTGAAATACTTGTACACTGAAAAAACTATGAAACACTGTTGAGAGAAATTAAAGACGACCCAAACAAACAGAAAGACGTCCTATGTTCATGGATTGGAAGACTTACTATTAAGATGGTAATACTGTCCTAATTGATCTGTAGACTCAAAGCAGTCTCTATCAAAATTCTCTACCAAGCTTCCAGCTGCCTTTTCAAATGGACAAGTTGATCTTAAAATTCATATGGCATTGCAAGGGACCCCAAATAACCAAAACAATCTCGAAAAAGAAGTACCAGGTCGAAGACTCACAAGTTCCCATTTCAAAACTGATTATAAAGTTACAGGAACCACAACAGTGCAGTACTGGGATAGGACAGACATATAGATCAATGGGATAGAATTGAGAGTCCAGAAATAAACCCATACATCTAGGGTCAACTGATTTTCAATAAGGGTGTTTAGACCAGTTAATGGAGAAAGAATACACTCTTCAACAAACGGTGCTGGGATAAATAGATAGTCACGTGCAAAAGAATGAAGCAGGACCCTTACCTCACAGCATATACAAAAATCCACTCCAAAGGGATCAAAGAACTACATGCAAGAGGTAATCACATAAAATAAGGTTATCTCCATGACCTTGGATTTGGGAATAGAATCTTAGATATGACACCAAAAGCACAAACAAAAAATAAAAGATAAAAACTTTTAAAAAAGATATATTGGACTTCATCAAAATTAAAAACTTCTGTATGTCAAAGGACACTATAAAGAGAGTGAAGAGACAACCCACGGAATGGGAGAACATATTTGCAAATCATGTATCTAATAAGGGTCTTATATCCAGAATATTATAAAGACCTATGGAGACTCAACAACAAAATGATAAAATGACACAATTAAAAAATGAGCAATGAACACCACATTGTTAATCAGCTATGCTCCAATATAAAATAAAAAGTTTTAAAAAATGGGCAAAGGCCTGGAATAGGCATGTCTCCAATAAGCACATAAAAAGATGCTCAACATCATTAGTCATTAGGGAGATACAAACTAAAGCCACAGTGAGGTACCACTTCACACCCACTAGGTTGGCTATTAAGAGAGAAAAGAAAAGTAACAAGCGTCAGTGAGGATGTGGAGAAACTCGAACCCTCCTCAGTTGCTGGTGGGACTGAAAAATGGTTCAGCTACTGTGGCAAACAGCTGTTAAAATATAAACTCAGTTAAACCACATGACCCAGCAATTTCACTCTACCCAAGATAATTGAAAACAGGTGTTCAAACAAAAACTTGCTCGTAGCAGCCTGATTCATAACGGCAAAAAAAGCAGAAAAATACAAATGTCAGTCACTGATGAATGAATAAACAAGATATGGTCCATACGCACAATTGAATATTATTCATCTCTAAAAAGGAATGAAGTTTTGACATATGTTACAATGTGGATGAGCCTTGAAGACATGATGCTCAGTGAGAGAAGCCAATCACAAAAGGCGACGTGTTGAGTGATTCCATTTGTATGAAACGTCCAAAACAGGCAAATCCAGAGACAGAGAGCAGATTAGTTGCCCCGGGGCTGAAGGAGGAGGGAATGGGAGGTGACTACTAACTGGTACAGGGTTCCTTTGGGGGTGATGAGAATGTTCTGGAACTCGACAGGGTAATGGTTACAGAACATTGTGAATGTACCAAATGCCACTGAATTACATGATTAAAATGGTGCATTTTATGTTATGTGAATTTTACCTCAATAAAAACTATACAACTAATTAAAAAGAACTTTAGTCTTTCTTGCAATTTGAATGGATCTTTCACCCACATGCACGGTTTTGTAACAACATGCACTGGTCACTTTGAAAATATTGGTTCACTGAGTTTGCAGATCTTCCAAATGTTGATACATTTCATCACACGGTATTGAAAAAAGTCACACTGGTTAATATCACTACCAACAACTTCGGCAAGATACCAGTTTCCCAAAATTCTGTTCTTTTGGTTTGAGAACATATTGACAATAAAACCTGTCGTGTTTTCCTCGATATGTCAAGCTCACAACCGTTCGGTTTTGAGAAAATGTGTACCAAATCTTCGAGTCTGAATAATCATAATTTGTCTGTCATCCTTTCGAGGAAAAACAGCGTTTCATGAAAAAAGTAGCTTGTTCTGCTCACAAGCCATTTGCCCGTGAGCTTTTCCTCAAGACTGTCTTCGTATTTTGGGAAGAAGCAGAAGCACTTTTCGTCACACAGAATATTAAGTGTTCTCGAGGACTGAGATTTAATAAAATTAATAATTTTTACTGCTTCATCAGGGAATTCTTGAGTGAAACTAGCATTTGGTATTTCTTTTCTTTTCTTTTTTTTTTTACTGTGCGTGCATGACGGTGAGGATTACAGTGACTTCTAGAGACTCTGATGTGTCCGCTCTGATTTGTGCACGGCTGTGTCAGCCGTGCTGGTTTTGCATCGTCGGGGCAAATGTCAACACGGGGAAAACAGCAACTAACGGGTTAGTATTATTGTGAAAACAGTTTTGATCTCGTGGAGCTCCTGAGAGGATCCTGGGGACACCCAGAAGTTTGCCAGACGTGTGTAAGACTGCTGAAAATCGTGCAGTTCCGAGTATTGCGGGAAAGAATACAAATGAACTTTTGCTTTGTAAGACCATCCTCAAAACCCCATAGCTATTAAATAGGGTCAGAACAAGCCCACTGATACCTTAAATTAACTTAATACACAGTGGAACCTCCCAAGGTGTTCACTGCGTTTTAAAATTAAGACGTCAGGTAAACCTCTGAAGGTGATGAAGTTCAGGACAACGTCACCAGTCCCCTTAGTTCAGATGGAGGGGTTGGTGCCCGGGAGTTAGGACCGGAGGCGCAGCGCAGTGCACCCAGAAGAGGGCGCTGTGGCGCCGCCTCCCAGCTCCAAGCTGAGGCCGTCCAGCATCCTTCAAAAAGGAGCATCTCACGCTTGAAGTCTGGGGGCTGGAGTGGGAGGCTTCCTTACGGACCTGACCGAGGGATTCTTACTGCACAAGTACAAGAGGCTTGATACGTCCTCTCAGTGGCTGGAAAAGTCAGTGTTTAATCTTTAGATATACTTAAATGGAAATTAAATTTATACTTGACTGGAGTTTAATTTTTTGTTATTTAAAACATTTTATCAAAGTGGTACCTGCACAGGCCCACATGTCAAACTGTAAGGAAGAGCCGAGGATGGATGCAGAGGTGCCCCCTCGCTACCCCAGGGCCAGGCTGCTTTCCCTAAAATCGTTTCTGTTTTCCGAGCTTCTCAAAGATTTCTTTCCATCTTGGTATTATGCATACACTCGTCTACCTATTTCTTGACGTATCAGGAGCTTCATCTTTATTTCTGATTGGGTGCAGTGCAGCCCATATTCCTTTTTATTGGCCGTTTAATTTCACTGGTTTCTGCTGCGTGAATTACTAGCGGAATGCCTGGGGAAAAGGGCACACACATATGCTTTAGGCATTCGGGAGAAAGGAGGGGAGAAAATGCCTAACGACTTGTGATCAAAGATACAGCGTTTCAAGAACTCAACGTGGTAGCAGAGCGCAGATAAGTTTTATTAACTCCCAAGTATATTAAAATTAGTTGGTTATTTAAACATTTTTAAAGGAATTTAAAAAACTCCTTTCCTTTCATATATAATCGTAGCAAAATTTTACCTGACATAAGGACTAGATTTGTGTCTTCTAAGTGAGGGTGGAGGTTACTTCTCCTCTGAATTCATT